CCCCCCCCCCCCCCCTTTTTTTTACTGCATTTCTGTTCCAAGGATGACAATGGTGCTTTTTGCTGCACAGCCTGAAACTGTCCCTTTTCATCACCAGACACAATAATTTGAGTATTTATTATGATAAACCATTTTTGTTTCCATTAAATCTAAGCCAAGTTTGATCCCCTTTCAAATCACTCGCAGCTGATTTCCTTTTTGAACACAAATGAATATTCATGGTTTCCTCTGACCACATTCAAGTGGAGTTACACAACTGAACAGACACAGGAAGAGAATCAAGTCTTTTCAAGTCAGCCCTGCTGGAAAGCACAGTTGGTGTGTCAGATTTGCTTTCACTGCTTAGGGATGGTTTTGTGCATATTGGCATGGAGCTCTCCAACATTTCATAAGTACTGGACAACTCACAAGCTGGCAGGACAGGATACTTTTGCATCACCAAGCAGATCAGGAATTAGTTTCCAGGAGCGAATGCCCCAGACTGTTGCCTAAGCCCCATTTTTTATTTTTTTAAATAGAGGAATGACATCATAGCTCTTGAGTGCCCTTGCCTACAGGGCTCATTTGGACTGGAGAAGTCGCTGTCTTTGTACAGTTTTTCCTACCACAGCAAAGTATTTGGCATTTCCTTTCCCTCCTCTAGGACTTTGCAAGTACCAAGTCTTCAACAGTCAAGGACTGTCCTCATAAATGTGTCTGTGACTTTTCCTCCTATGAGGCCAGGGTGGCAGCAGTGCAATGCTAGAAGAATAGGACAAAGGACTGAGGTCACACGTCCCCTGAACACCAGGGGACCTTCATGTCTAACTCTGAAGGGAGCTTGCCCAGGGGACAGAACCAGGCTCTCTCCAGTGGTGCCCAGTGATGGGACACTAACTGAAACACAGGAGGTTCCCTCTGAACACCAGGGAACACTTTTTCACTGTAAGGCTGACTAAGAACCAGAAGAGGTGGCCCAGAGGGGTGGTGGAGTCTCTGTCCTTAGAGATACTCAAAAGCTATCTGGACATGGTCCTGGGCAACCAGCTGCAGTTAGACTAGATGATCACCAGCAGTCCCTTCCACCTTCATCTGTTCTGTGGTTGTGACTTGAGCCAGAGAAAGTGAAGACAACCCGTCCATCTTTGAAACTTCAAACCCCAGAACCCTGCATACCACATCCCTTAATATCCCATGCCCAACACCATCTTTTGATTCCACTTTTTTTAATTAAAATATGTATATTGCTCACATTAAAATACAGCAGTAGTTTAATTTTAAATATAGCCACAAGTATAGACACTCAAAAAACCCAAACCCACAACACTTTAATAAAACAAATAAATAAATCAGATTTGTTTATCAAAGTTTCAGACCATGGGGGGTAGATGATAATGATTTTAGACACACCTGAAGTCCTAAGACTGAACTACCCTACCCTTATGACACCTATTTTCTTGGAATACCACGTGCAGCCTATCTACAGTACATGGACTAGAACAGGGAGGCACTGGGTCTGTTATGGTGGTTACTGTTACAAACCACAGCAGAGTAAGATCCTGCTTTACAGGATGAAGTCCTACACTAGAAGAGCATGGCAAGGCATTTCTGGGAAAGAGTCATTCAGAGAGATTTAATCTTTTGACACACATAGATACAGGGTTTCTCTAATCCAATTCCAAGCGAGAGTGGATGCTTAGCTTTATCCTGCAAGTATGCAAAGCTTGAGTTGGTAATGAATTTGGTTTTGATTAGATGCTGACAACTATGCCCTAATGCAACACTGATTTTATGGAACAGTACTTCTGCTTTACAAGTTATCTGGACTTTTGCATTGGGAGAGTTTATAGTTTAACCATAGCACAGAGGGACACAGTGCCAGAAGGTCAGGTATCTGGCTTGCCTTACTTCACACAGAGACAAAAAAATCAGAGCAAATTGCCAGGAGTTTGAAAAAAAAGGAGATGGGAATAGCTTTAGCACAGGCAAGACAACTAGGGAAGATTTGCTTCATTTCCCTTCACCTCAAAACAAGTGAGAAAAAAAAAGTCTACAACATAAATTTGCACTGCAGGATCGTGGATAGTTCAGATTGGATCTATATGCTTTGTCTTCACTGAAAGTGTCCCAGGATGTGTGGAAAGAAAAGGACAGAAAGAAGAAGTCTGAGTTTCTAGTTAACATAAGTAAATTCAACAAAAACGCATCAATTCCCATTGTAGAGGCACAACTCATAGAAAGCTGCATCTAAAACATCAATGAAAAACAAGTAAAAATACTAGTTAAAAAATAAATAAACTGTAATTTACTGGTAAGGTATTTTGCTGGTGCAGTGCAAGGTAAGTAAGGTCACAGAAGTGCAGTATCACCTTTTTAGTATAAATACTTTCTACATAAATCAGAAGAGCTACAAAATTAGTCTCCAAAAGTAACTGTGCAACACATTTAAGACAGACAACATGCTTCTTAAATCCCAGCGTCTAAGCTACCTGTTTGAGTACGGTTCACTGTTCTTTTGTCTCAGCTGCCTGAGGGAATTTGGAAGCTTGGTCAGAACCAAATTCATTTGTGCATCTCACTTCTTGTAAACAAGTTCTCTGTGTTCTTGATCCCAGTATTCAGTAGCAGTTCGTGCCACAACAGGTCCTGATGTCATTTTTTTAGTATTCAAAGCCACATCCAGAAGAACACTTCCTAAATCAGCAACTAGATTTGAATTATTCGTGTCTGGCATTGCGTAAACATTTCTTTCAGTTCTTTCTGTCTGATTTCATTTATAGCTTCTGGGTCTGCAGGGCTCTTCTGGACCTTTGCCACAGCAAAATTAATGCCTTGAGTCAAGCCTGCTTGTGTGATGTTAGCAACCTGGACCATGGAACTGCGAATTTTAGCAAACGGGGACACAGCTCTGCTGCTGCTGCCGTCAGCTGGAGAAGGGGTCATGTGGAGTCCTGGCTCAGCGTTACCAGACACAGATCCTGGGCTTTTATGAGATTTAGTAAAGTCAATCCCACCAACAGCTAAGAGCTGAGGATTTGGCTCAGAAGACTGTACGTCCAACTTAGATGGCCTGGGAGGAATATCTCTGATAGCTTCAGCCTTGGTTTCTGCCTTCTTAGATGTATTATTGCTGGCTTGATTTATGACGTGATAGGGCTCTTGAGAACCAGCCTCAGCCTCCAACACATCTGACACCTTATTTTGAGCATCGTGCACAAACCTCTGGCAGTACACATCAATAGGTTTAGCAAGCTCCATCTCCACATTGTCAGCAGAAGGAGTGGGGAGGTCGTCACAGTCAGACCGGCCAGCCTGAGAGACACGGACGTCGGATGGGACATGGATGCTAATGTTCATGTCAGTGCTGCTAACAGACTGGGACCGACTGCCCAGCCGTGGAGCTGAGGCAATGATACCACAGCTGGGCAGCACATAGTCTGTCTGCCCTATGTTCTCCAGAGAGTCCACCAGCTGGTTGTCCTCATTCAATTTAGAATTAGTCAGGAAGTCATCGGAGTGGAATGAATCATTATCTGATACCTCTGTATCAGATTCGGGATGGACTTTAGTATCTACCACTGGATTCTCCAAAGTTTCCAGGCTACTATCTGATTTCCAAAGGCTCACGTTCAAATTTGGTTTTAAAAAACTGACTTTCACTTCAGGTTTGGTGAAGCTGCCCAACTTGCGAAGATTGCCCATGTTCACATTGGACTTGGTTTGTTTCACTTTTTGATTGAGAGATGAGAACTTGCTCAGTAAGTAATTCTTGCCTTGAGCCAGGGAACCTCTGTTCTGAGACCGAATGCCAATGATGTCCTCATGAGGTTTACTGCTCTTCCTGGAAGACAGAGGGGGAAAAAAAACCTCTAACACACAATCAAGGCACCAAGCACTGACCATCTTCCAGTCTATTTCCATGATACAGATGGGCATTTAATAACTACGTTAGCCTTTCCTCACATAATTGTACTCCTATAGGCTAATCAAATTCAAAATGACAACAGGGCTGCTACAGAATGGTAGCCAAACCAGGGGAAAAGGAACCTTCTGCAGGCATTTCTTATTCTAGACGAAACTGGATTTGAATTCTCTACATTTGTAACCCAGACTTGGTGTATGCTGTGCTCAGGAGCCAGTTAGTAAATATTCCATTTTCAGTACCTGTAAAAAAGAGCAAGATTTTCTTGCTACACTTTTTATTCAGCTGGCAAAAGCAGCTGAAATAGTAGCCCAATAATCAAATACAGAAGCTATTGAAATACGTGCCCTAATAGTTTTTGCTTGACAATTCACAGTTGTGTTCCAACAATACGTTTTCTAGTAGAGTCTGAATTGGAAGGGTCCAAAACAATGCAAAAAACTGCACTTGAACTGGTAAAATGTGCTAAGCTTCACCTAGCCACCCTCTTATTTCTACTCCATTGTGCTTTGCAGATTATTTCCTCACTGTTAACAGCTCGCCAGTATTTGTAGGCAATGGTTACTTCTGTTTAATGTAGACAATCGACTTATTTGAGAAAACGATCTAAAAAATTATAATAAATACTTATAATTATCAGCTATGATTTCCCATGCCCTTTCCTCTTCATGGGCTTGCAAAACTGAAACTCGCATGCCATTGTGACTAACACTTGGGAGCTGAGAAGAACTTTTTCCACCCAGGACATGCAGTGTTTGCTGGATTTGTTCAGCACTCAAGTGCAGTGGCATCCAGCACAGACTTACACTTCACAGGTTGTCTTCTTACTACAGAGGCAGACAGTAAGTTCAGACAGGAGAAACAGAATTTGACAAACTAATCACAAACCGTCTGATCTGCAGTATGTTCTTTATATTTGGGAGTGTACATTATCTATAAGCACATGTGTAAAATAGTACCCCTGATTCTACTTTTAGAGAAGCACCTTCAGTTATAACTAGAAGCAGCACACAGACAAATTAAACTCCTAGCACAGCAGCTGGATACAGACACTATTTTAAGCTTTGTCTGTATGACTGTCCTCATATACTTTTAGCCACAGACAAGACAGCAAAAGTGGGACATGGGAGGGTCACATCATTGAAGTACTCACCTCTCTAGCTTCTTCTCAATGATAGGCACATCTAATCCCATTGCTTGCTTTGTGATTCTCAGCATTTCTGCAATGCACTGAAGAGTGTCTGAAAACCAATTACCAGCCTGTCAGACATTTAAAAAAAGAAAAACCCAAATCCCATATTCCAAAATCTAAAATGAGACTTATTTCTGTAATGTAATTCAGTTAATTTGGTTGTTTGTTTTTCTTTCCTATCACCCTACAGAATAGTTGAACTGCACAATTTGCAATTCAGATTCAAAGCTTACAAAAGAAGCTTAAAGACTAGACTGTCCTTAAGACCTAAATACTGGGTGTAAGGGAATCTTTGCCACCATTCATCATTTATGGAAGGAACAGAAGCCATCAGATTTAATTCTAATCCTTGCTGACAAAACCCAGTGCTCCAGGTAATTTTTTCCTTATTAGTGTTTAGTTAATTTAGTTAAACAACAAGCAAGAACATTTCTAGGACATTGATTTCACAAAAAAAAAATAATAAAAAAAAAATCTTTTTTTTCCATTCTTTAGGAGTTAATTTTAAATTCATTTAATCAGTTTTTGGAACAGTAAAGATCTGGACATGGAAATGTCTCAGTTCTAGAGACTTGTTGCTTTCAAGCTGTACGTGAAAATTCTTTTTCTTCATACTAAAACATCAACATTCTAGTGTTCAAACAGGAAGCCACATGCAGGGCATTTTTGTTGGTTCCCCAGCTGACTAGATAATATTAAAATGTATCCTTCCTCAGAAATTATTCTCAAAGCAATGGAAAAAGTGTTTCCTAGAGAAACACTGGTCTGCTGAATACACTTTTATGTTTAAAACTTTGACATATGAAACAAACCTTTTCCATCTTCTTCTGGGTTTCGGACCACAGCCCTGAGAGTGTGAAAATACCCACTCGTGTCTTTGTATCTGTAATGCAGCCTCATGCAAGAGAACTTGGGTTTGCCAAAGAAGGTAGGCTCAGGTCCTGAAAAATAAACCAGGAGATGAGAAATCTTCTTTAATCAAACACTGAAAGAGTTATTGCAAAACTGTACCTAAACAGATGTAGGAATTGACAGGTTTTTTCAGCTTAAAGAGCTTCATGTTTTCTTTAGAGTAGGATAAACACTTTAAATGAAAGATTTTCACAACTAATAATTTAAAAAAGCAATTAGTCTCTGTGCATGCCTGTTACACTCCAGCCTGATTATTTATTACAGATCAGCTTTTCAAACTGAAGGGAAAAAAAAATTTACACCTATTAGATACCATATGCTTTAGGATATGCTCCTGCAAGGATTACAGGGAAAGCGAATATATTTTTGGCAAGTGGAAGCAATGTAAGTGTCAAGATTTAGACCAGGCACTTCCTCTCTTCAATGCACTGCATCATATCTAGATGATTAAACAGGGGGTTGGTTTGTTTTTATAAGGTATTTGGTCTGGAACTATATCCTGTAAATCAAGATGTATTGTGGATCTCCACAACACAGAAGTGAGAGAGAAATGACACACACAGAGTGAAAGTTACAGTAAGGAGATGAAGTCACAATGCACTGTGTAACAGAGTATTAAAGTCTACTGAGGGGGGAAGCAAACAAAAATTTTCCTCCCTTCTCTCCAACTGGAACAACTTCTGCATCTGTAAAGTCAAAGATATCACATCTTTAATACTTTCAGCTCAAAGTGCTGGATTTAGCCTGCAGGTGTTACATTCTTCAGTCAATAAATAAGTTAAATCAGGATAACAAGGTTATTGTATGATAGCATGTTTCTTATCAGACATTGAGAAATAAGTTGAGTTTTTTTAAATCTATGAAAAAGATCTAAAGCACAATTCAGAACCAGCTGCTGTATTTGGATCAAAGAAAGAGTGCCTTGAATGCACAAAACTGCGATTTGTTATAGAAGCTGATCAAATTGTTACTGCCAATTGATAAATAATGACATTTGTTTTGATGAATCCATGTGTCTGTTAAGAGTTTGAAAGAGAAAAAATTTTAGAACCCTACCAGTGATCAAAGTTCCCATTTCAAGCAGTAGTAAAAGATTAAGACTGCAAGAGAACAGGCTCAGCACTAGCATCCCTTGGCAGCAAAACACCACGTTTCTAGCTGTGGTGGACTACACAGGACACACAAAATATATTGAGGTTTGCTGTTCCAGTATATTTGTAGGGTGCTTTAGTAAGTGCTCCAGCTGTTATTAAGAGTATTCAAGACAGACATATAGTGACTACATTCTTACCTATTTCTATTTTTTCCAGAGCTTCAAGACCTAACCTTTGGTACTGATTCACCTTGTCAATTTCATCATCATAACTAGAAAAAAAAAATAATCAGAATTTAATGCTTCTACTAATTAAAACAAAGCTGCTAGAAAAACTACACATAGTAAGAGAAAGTGGTAACTTACTAGGCTACGTAGTAGGCAGAATTAGAAAGGAGCAGCAGAACATCCACATCCTTATGAGTGGCATCGATGAGACTAAGAAAGGGAAAGAAGGAGAATGAATACAGGGCGGGTTTATTTGCACAGCTGTAACCCACCCCCAGTGTATTTTAGGGACATTTTTACAGTTTCAGGCATGTTACAAGAGATTTCAATTGTGTTACATTATCTTGTGTGATGCTGCTACCTCTTCACAGCCACTGAAAAACCAAGATAGGTGAGACACTTCACAAGCCAGAATGTGATGTGTCATTGGACTTTCCAGACAATAAGTGGATCCATGTAAGCAACACTCTCTTAAACCTGGAGTTACCTAAATAGCTCCAACAGGTCAGCAGCAGGTCCAAAAATAGTCAGAAAAACCACAAGCTATTAAAAGTGCTAACAGAGAAATAGAAAAATATCTGACTCAGTTAAGGTGATGAGTCCGTGCTTTGACTAGAATCATAACATCCTGCCTTGCTATTTTTGGATGCTGAAGTTTAACCTGCAGAAGATCTCAACGCTATTTTCTTTTACAAGTTAGTGAACTCTGAATTGATAAGGAGACTTATCAGTGAGGTTAAAGTTTATGCTTACTACTTTTCATGAAGAGAAAGAGTAGGCTTTCCTCCTACTGACTCATTATACAGGAATTCAATCTGATCAGATGTGGCTTTCAAGTCACAAAGGGTGGTTAAAAGTTGTCTTCATGGTGCCTAACACATTTTGGCAATAGTAACTGAATCCATACATTCCCAGGTGATGCCTCAAAGGTAACTCCAGCACTGGGAAAAGCACATGTTTAGAGGACCTTTCTTTTTGCAGTTACAAGTATTCAATCCCTTCGAGAACTCTTGTTAACAAGAGTCTAAGTGGACAGTTTTGTAGAATATCAAATCAGCAATCAAAAGCATCTAACACCAGTAGTAACTAACAGAGGCAGTAGTAATTAACAGGGGTGTCATAGAAACAGCTGAGTAACTATTACTTTAATCAACAAACCTTGGATCACAGTCAATAAGTGCCCATCCTCCGTGGAATTTCTCATCATCTGGCAAGAGCAGTTTCATGTAGCTCTGCAACAGCTGGCTGATCAATTCCTGATGGCTTCTCAGGTTCTCCTTGTGCAGGGCTTCATGCTCTTTCTCTTTTGTAAATATGGAATAAAGATCCTCTGTTACAGGGACACCCTGCATCAAATCTAAATAAATCACAGAAAATATCAGAAAAGAAACCAACAGTTAAAAGTGATACACAGCAATAGTCTGTTGATTAATATGTAAATGCTTTCCAAAGGTTTCATACTGAAGATACATATTGAATATAATGCTGCTTGAAACTAAAAACTCAGTAGGTATGACACTATTTTCTCAGCGAAAAGCAGGAGTTAACTCACCATTTTAATAAACACTTCCTACATAAATTTAACTTTGTCTAGAGATGTTACAAGATACTTAATGCTAAAGTAAAGTTAGGAGCAAATTCTACACTGCATGCAATCCCCTCTCAATTGAATGTTGTTTAATCTCCAAATGAAGAATGACTGTTCCATATGGTGTCCATTATATGAACATAACATACACTCAAGGTGCTTTAAACTTCAGGGGAAAAAAAAAAAAAACAAAAACACCACTCAAAAAGACAAAACCAAGTTGATTTCAATAAACTTCTCTGAATACCATAGTTCAGCTTAGTTGAAATTGTATTCTTACCTATGACTGCTTGCCTGTAAGCATCCCTGAAACGATTCAAGTAGTATCTGTTGGCAGAATTAACTCCATCTTTCATTACCCCTGCCAGCTTTCTTTCACCAGTCCTTGTGAAGTCCCCCTGTCACACAGAACACATAAATCATGCTCATTTGCAACTTTGAAGTGGCAATCTCAGCTCATACGCTTTGGCACTCAAACTCAGAACTGAATAGATGATAAACAGACCTGTGATTCCATAGAAAGTCCTAATGGAAAACAGTAACACAGGCATACACGGCAGCCAACATGAAAGCTGAATTCTCAAGACAGTCACTGGGATGCTTGAATACCTCAAAAAAAACCCCTTATTCTTTTGACTTAAATGTAAAAGGAACACTACTGCAACAATGGAAAAGCTGGAGCCTTTTGAAAAATGGTTTTCATCTTCTCTGCTTCTGCTACACCAAAACAAGCATAACACACTAGAAGAAAATAGTACATATCCTCAAAGCTGAGAAACCAAAATGGAGAGCTTCTAGGCAATGGGAGGCTTAGAATTAGAATAAAAAGCAGTTTTGGTATTTACACTTCATCAGAGGATTCTGTTTGCAGAGACACTCTGAACATTGACACAGAACTGTTCTAAAAGCCAAGCCAACCACTATGAAGAATATTTCAAGCATGTTTCATGAAACATCACAATTAAACTGCAAATAAATTGAATCCATGACCCTCAATGGTGAGCAGCAATGGCTGAAAATTTATAACTATAAATTGAATTCTGTGCTGCAGTGATAAATTATAAACTTACAATCAAGACAAGCCTGTGAGGCTGCTTCTTATTATTTTTTTAAAAAAGATTAATGTAATCAAAGGTCAGTAGATTTCATTGTTAAGCATCTCGACTATAAAGGTTTTCCCAATGCAAATAACCAGAAATATTAAAAATTGTTGCACCAGTGACTACACAGACAGCCAACATAGCTCAAATTTCATGATTTCTCAAAGCAGCAGGAGTAAAAAGTAATGAGGTTTCATGCCCAATTTCTGATCTTTGCAGACAGACTACATTACAATCAATTAAGATAAGTCTTTAGAAATTATAATTAATTAATATCACCCTATTACCTACACATTCTGATATGTAGTCCTTCAGAATATTTTTTTAAGTTCTGTAACTGCTTAAAAGTACTATAAATGTGCACAAATTTAAACAGAAGTCATGTCTAATATAGAACTTAAACTCTTAGCTCATCTATGCTTTGTATCTAGACTTGAAACTAACAGAATAAAGTTACCTGCAGCCAGTAGTGCCACAGGACACCTGGACACTCAAGTCTTCTCCAATTCACACACAGTGAATGGAAAGGTCTCCTATCTCTCCAAAACAAAAACACACACAGAATGTTTGGCTGATTTTGCTACAAATACATGAGTTCTCTCTTGGACATAAAGCCTGTACTGTAACCTAGGACTCATCTCCAGAACAGATCCCACTTCACTACTTACCTTTAGGGCTGCAGTGCCCGCGTACTGCCGGCTTATGGCATCTCCATTGTTTGCCCAGATTATCTGGTAGATTCTATTGCATTTCACTGGCAAAGGCTGTTCTGGTGGCATTACTCCCAGTTTTTTGAGCTGGAATTTGACACACACATTAATACAAGGTCCAAGATAAAGATCATTCTCAATATCAGGGCTTGATAAAGGAAACAGGAATACTTGCTAAGTATTGAATTATTAAGTTTACTATGATCTGAAAAAGGAGCCCATTTTGCTAATTTGTCAGGTTAAATTGTTACTAATGAATCACTAATTCACTGTTAAACATCGTACCACTGGATGCAGCAGTAATATACTAATTATGCATGTAGAAGTCAACTTAAAAAAAAATAGCTGAAGGACAAGTTACTTGAGATACAGGATGTTTCTGTTTTCTATAAAGAACTAACAAAAGAACAGACATCACAGAACTTTAGCATGGATAAACAAGTCAATGCCTTCTATTACAAAGGCATTCATGACCTCAAAGGTCTGAAAAATAAAGAAACAATCTCTTTCCAATTACAAGAAAAAGTATATCAGATTCTTAATCTTTTGCTTCCAGACAGTAAAGCAAATGCAGTGGCACCACCTTCAAGCTTACTCCTCCTCCATAATAAAACCTTAAAGCTACTTCAGATGTTGTGTTTATTATTAATGCTTGTGCAGTTTGGACAGTTACTGTTTAACACTGATACTGAAAGTAAGATATATTACTCTTCAGAACAACCAGTACATAAGTTTTCCAAGATAAGTGTTGGGTACAATACAAAAGTCCTTTCCAGTGCAGTTTAGTTTAGCATTTTTCAAACACATTTCCCTGTCAATAACAATGAAGTTGTGAGGTACTTGCAAAGTACATTAGTGATACATGCCTGCTGTTCCATCACCACTCTTGCAATAGCAGCCTGCACAACATTGGTACGATCCAGACAGTCCATGCAGTTTACTCGAAAAATTCCTTCCTGCTTACAAATCACACCAGCTTGATCAACCCTTTCAACAGAAAAATAAAGCAAAAGCATACAGAGACATTCAAAACCCAGGGCAATTTATCAGCTTCTATGAACAGTAGAAAATTTTACACAGGAAATACTATTTATAGTTTCCTTCATCACTCCAGCCATACCTCACCCAGAAATAACTATTCCTGTTCCCACCTCTGCTCTTCCAGGCTAGATATCCAACACACATCCTACTGTGGCCATAAGCCTCCTATGCAATATGAATTCCATTCATACATATGCAACATAAGTTTTCAAGAGCAGGCATTTAATTTCAAAAACCTTATAAAACAACAGTAATGACAGCAAAGCTTCATGCAACATATATTGAGCAATAGATGGTAATTGCTAAAGGCTGCACTCTCATTAGCAAATCCATGCACTTCCATCAGCACAGACTAAAGGCCAAACATGCCCACTGCACTCATCAGCACGGCTGGTGTTCCAGCGTTTGTGGGTCAAGCACCATGTGTTTCACATTAAATATAAGAAACCCTAAAAGTGTGAAATGCAGTAAACCTCAAGCAGAAAAGTGCCTGAGAATTTTTGCAGCTCTGTGTGTAGAACACTAATACTTTAGAACACAAAAACTCTGATGCACAAGCTGGGCACAGAGAAGAATATAAAACATACCAGTAATGACAAGACTCTGAATATGTGCTGTTTTACTTGTTCCTACAAGTATTTCACACTGGTCTAAAAACAGTTAAGTACCTACCAGCACCACTTCATGTCAAGAATAATATCATGAATGGCATCAGTCAGTGTTTGAACATTTTCAAACTTCATTCCTCGGCTAAAATACAGAATTTCACAGAAGTTAGTTTAAACCTGAGTAGTGTTTTTTTATTCTTTTATTATTATTATTTATTTTTACTTATTTTATGCTATTTGTAATGTTAACAAAAATGTGTTCTGCCTAAGTGGGAGAGACAGATTCTGAGAGAGACAGATTCAGCTTTAAATAGCAGCCAATATTCAGAACTATTTAAAATACAGTTCATTATCTAAATCCAAGGCAAGAGATCTCCTCCCACCCCACCAGGTCATTTTCACTATTTTCTGTGTTCACTGGTGCTTACAGTGCAAAAAGAAATAGTCCTGGTTACCAAAGCAGGTCTTAGGAGAAAAGCAAACAACCAAAAATTAAAGTAAGTGTAAACAAAAGAGTAAGTACCAAATAAATCCAAGATGTCAATAGTGCTACCAAAAATAAGTCTCTTAAAAGCCATTACTAAATTAATGGGATTTTTTCCCTTTTCCTTCTCCTCTCAGACAATATCCATTAATGACATGCTTATTCAGTCAGCACTGCTTTTCCAGGCCAGATAAAAGCCCTAGATTAAGTTAGGAAATTAAGACTAAAACAGAGTTATTAGACCCTATATGTGTAGAAGAAAAGGAGTCTGCTTGAGGGAAGCATGAAAAAATGGTCTGTGTGACAGACCACGTGCTTGGGCATCTGAACATTGCACTAGACCATGCCAACATTAGAGTGGAGTCATGAAAACAGCAAACCACTTATACTGGATTAAAATTAAGCCCACTATATTTTATAATGGAACAGCAGCATCAGGGTTCTGGAAGAACTCAGCATACAGTAGTAGAAAGAAACACAAGAAGGCTTGCAGTAAAGAATTAACAGCAGAATGCCAGACTGTTCGAAAAGCAGGTCACCCACAGGGTTACATTCATACCATGTTTAAAGAAACACTGTTGCTTACAATGCATAACAACTTCTATGCTTTGCTGCATATTTAACAAGTCAGGGACACAAGATTATCAAACAGCTGGGCTTGGTTATCCAAACTTGAACTTTTATAGTGCTTTAGTTTACAAAAGGCATTCTTCCTTGTTTCATGCAGAAGTAGAAATAATAATGGCTTTTCTCCTTCCTTCCTCTCTCCTTTCATGCTAATAAAAAAAAAGACCCAGAGTGACATTTTTAAAAGGTTTCTTACCAGTGCTCATGGAAGTCGAATGAAACATAAGTCAGATTTGCATTATTGTACAGAAGAACTTGTTTAAGGTAAGCATCTCCAATAATCTTCTCTCTGCCTGTCTGATCCACCAAATTAATAATAACCTGTTCAAAAGTTTAACAGCTGTCAGCTGCTACACCATGAAATAACAAATAGCTCAAGAGCTAAAAGGATTTCTAAGCAATCTTACTCAAGTAACAGTCTTTCATATAATGTGCCCAAGATCAAGCCAGCTCCAACAGTTACCTGCCTGCTTGAACTTTAACACAAAGAAGATGTGAATTCACATGAGAGGTGAAAAGCACCAGCAGTAGGGCTTACATACTGCTGCAAGTTATTGCTGGGGTTTTTTTAAGAGGTTACTTACAAGGATACTTTAAGATTCTATTTATGTATCATGCTTCCAATTGTCAACAGCTTCTAAAAACCCACAACCCACATCACCAACAAGAAAAACAAACTACAAACATTAATTTTCATCCTCTGTGTTTTCATGACTATTTTTTCATGTAGCACTCACCTGCTTTCTGTAGTTTTTCAGCTGTTCTTCAAAGTGTGCACGAAAACAGGACACTGTTTCATTTTCACCTACAAGACAGAAATAGCTTGTTTGGCAACTAGTCCTGTTTGGAGTATTAAATTAGTAAATCTATACTCTATAAAACCAAGTTGGCTTTGCTTAAAGTATTTAAAGACACAACACATTGTACAGAATTCCTTTTAAAGGTCTTTCAGCAATTTGCTCAACTTCAACCTTGTTGTTCTACTAGTATAGTGGTCAGGAAACACCATTCTTAAATTTTGCTTTATTTTGGTTTTTGTGCAGAGCAGATTGGACAAAAAATTTAACTTCTAATAATAAGCCTGACTACTGAAATACTTACTCTTGTCCAGTCGGGGCCGTGGGTTATATCTATATCCCACTTGGCTCCAGAAAACAGGCACAGAGCCTCTTGTTTGTATAAATGAGAGAGTATGATTGTGAACATGAATCAGTTGCTCCGTCTCAACATAATTTGCCACATTTCCATTTTTATCAACACCTCTTCGCTTATACCGCATTCCTAGGAGGAATAAGAGAGATCAATTCATATTTAATTAGGAGTCTTCAGCATTAATAACTTTTGTTGCCATTTTTTTTACAACAGTAACACAAAGAGTTCTAGTGAAAATCCACTATCAATGGTAAAAGTCACTCCCATCCTCATCTAATCCCCAAAAATTATGGTGACTGTATGGATAAAGTTCATTTACTGATACACTGTGAGCAACAGGAAGCCAGTTACAAGGCAACCACTGGCACTGTAAAGTCACAGACACATCTACTCCACCCTAAAGGACACATTACTTCCTGTTCTGTCAAGTTTAGCAGAAAGTTTTCCTTTAGTGCTCATTTTTTTCCATGACCTTAAAGGCCACTTTTACCAACAGATGCTCCATTCCGCACAGTAAGAGATCCCACAAACAGCCCAAGAAGATGTGCATGTTTCACACAACAGAAGATGTCCCCCCAGCCTTGTTTTAAGCTGTATAACTAGCTCTGCACGTTAAGAACAGATTCTGTTTTTCAGACTACACAGGTTGTGGCCCCAAGAGGTAAAGGTTGCCATATGGAGGCTTGCATATCCTTTGCTGAAAGGAGAGTGTGTCACTGTTTCTGCAAGGATGCAGGGGGTAACAAGGGATGGGGAAAGAATAAGTAGACAGGGTTGGAGAAAGATTCCAGGCCATGGTTTATAGCCTGGAAATTCAGTTCCACAGAATCAGAACAACTCTGTTCAAAGCCCCCAAGTAGCACTGGGCCAAACTTTTGAACAGAACCTAAACTAAAGAGTTTGGGAGAGAAGGGAAGAGGTTAGAAATAGGGAAGTGAAAGGAGTGTAAAATATCTATAATAAGAGCATTTATAGCGTCACAAAATGTCAAAGCAGTATTATTACAGACTTTGATCAGACAGGGGACTGTTAGACTGAAGTATCAGACACCCTTTACTTATGTCCTGACACCAATACTGGCCCTTACACCAAAACCCAAACTAAATTATTACACAGGGAGCTTCAAGTCCATTACTTTTGATATCTCGTCTTCTGCAGACACTAGGCTCTTCCTCTCTTAAGCTTAAGAGGAGCCACATTTATCTCATGATACTTTTCCTTAAAGTCTGGAGCATGTTAATAATTTAGAGCAGTAGATATTTTTTATTTGTTTTAAAACTGCAAACAAGCTCCCTGACAAAGAATCAGTGTGTTTAACAAAGAACTATCCTAGGCTTTTAAATCAGTATTTCATGGTTTTCTGGAGGAGCTGTTTGCTTGGGGTTTTTTAACTATATTATCTCATAAATGAAAACACTTTGAACTCTTGGCTAAAATTATGTGCTACAGAAAGCATTAAACACACAATCCTATAATTATTCTCCAAAACATTGCATCACTTTCCTGAAGCAATCTTTCTGTGTCAAAGGAGAAAGTTCTACACCGTTTATGCTCTGGACTGACAATCAGATAAGTATCATCAATTGTAAGATGGAATCAATAAGCAATTTGCCCTCTGCAATTCAGTTCCTGTATCTCTAAAATATTTTAGTAAAAATAAGGCATACTGCAAACTAGGTACTACTATGAAACCCTCAAGTATTTGCTTTGAGTTGTTCCGACATAATTTTCCTGGGAACCGAATTAAATGCATTGAAGCGAGCTGTGGTATGAAGGCCAGCCCCATGTCAGGGCAAGCTCACCAGGGTTTTTTGTTGTTTGGGTGTGGTTTTTTTGACATGTTAGAAACCTGACAGTGTAGAAAAGGACTTGGGCACAGAGGTGAATGTTACAAGAAATCTGATAGACTGAAAAGACTTAGAATTGAACAGGTCCTACTAAGGCGTAAAGTGATTAAATCTTTCATTCTGTGCTCCTAACAATGGGAAATAATTTATTTATTTTTTTGCCTTGTTACTACTAGAATAAGTCAAATAATATGCAAGACCAAAGTATGGTTCTCATTTCACACCTTGGTCCTACATAAATATCCATCAGGATGCAGGCACACATACACACCACGTGCCTTTTAAAGTCTCAATTTAGCTGCTGTTAAAGCCCTCAAAGGAAGACCTTGAAAAATGAAACTCCCATCCTGGCCTACTGAAATACGTCTGGATGGAGCTGTACACAGGGTCCTAATCAATGTGTTCTCTCAGAACTGTAGCCTCCAAAGATGCAGTTACTGCTCAAGAGGAGACTTGAGAAGCTCACTTGGTAAGCACTCTAAGAAACAGCAGTGTAGTGCTGTATGCACTACACCCTTTTCCTTTCCTCCTAATAAGCAGGAAT